TCAGATAAGATAACTTGCCTGGGGCATTTGGTGCGCAGCCCGAACCCAAGGATAGTTATAAAATGTACTGTTACAGTGCTGTAAGTGTAGACATGACTTTATGGACCGAAGAAGCCCGCGGGGTTGGGAGCGGGATTTGACTAGGTTTTCTTCAGTTAACTCACTTTTCAAAACAGACCTAGCTTGTAAATGCAAGATTCCTTCTCACTGGCTATGTGTTTCAGAGAAAATGCGCAATGAAAATAGTGGAGTAGCATTACAGAACACTTAAACAGCCCTTCTGTATTTGGAGTAGTGCGTGCTCAGCTTAATTCTCTTCTGTCCTCCTCCCCCTTCTTCCTTTTGCCTCCTTTCTTCACCTTTATGATTCTGTTCTTAATCGTACCTTACTGTCCTCTTCCCCCATCTCACCTTGTGTTTTGCTTACAGGTCTTTTTCCCATTAAACTCCAGTTTGCATGAACCTTCTTGGCTTGGATCCACATTAGACTTGAGTGTGAAAGTTGTTGTTACAGTATGCATCATTCTGATGTGAAACACTTAATTGCAAATGAAAGTTCACTGACTGTATTAAGAAGCCAGGAAAAGATGATTTATTGCTTTTTTTTTTTTTTTTTTGCTGTCTCACTGTAGGTTTTTTTCCACATTTATCTCTAAAAATATGCAACATTTCAAAGCAGGTTTTCTTAAGGCTTTCTCAATAATATTATGCATATTGTTGGCGGAATATGCTTTAAATGAAAATATTTACTTTTTTTAATGAGTTCTTTTTTTTATTCACTACAGAAAGATTGCTACAGAAATAAGCATAAAAAAGCTGTCAAATCTAAATGGAAAAAATGCTTTTGATGCAGATTTTCTGCAGAAAATACAAATTCAAGTTTTAAGTGGACCTAAATGCCAGTTAGCAATTACTTTCTACTTTTGTTTTAAAATATGAAAATCACTTAAGTGCCTTTGTGACAGGAACTAGATGATTCAATTTGCTGTCACTGCTTCCTGATGTACAGAGTTACCTCATCAGCTAAGGATAAAATGGATCCAAAATAGCCGTGTGAATGACAGCATTTTCGCCCCCCCGGAGTTTAAATGCATTTGTGTGTTAACACACACAAGCTGTTGAGAAGGATGGGAAGGGGAGTGAGTTTTGCAGTCTACATTTATTTTAAATCTCAAATAAACTTTTTTCTCTCTGGTTACTACAAGCTACCCGGCTGTTGTTGTAATCCATCAGATTTCTGTTGAGTCAGCGCAACTTCTGGTCTGTTTGGAGACTGATGCTCTGGTTCTGACAAACGATGAACAGTTTGTTTGTAATTAAACACTGTGCTCCTTAATTAGGTAGAACTCTCTTCGTATTACTTTGATCATTTTGTTTCTGTTCCAGCTTACTTGATGTTCTAGGCCACTGAATCTTTTTGCTCTTCAGACTCGCTAGACAGTTCATGAAATGAAACACTAGGCACGTGCTTTGGATTCTCATGAAGTAGTTTCAATTGTTTCACCTTTGTGACTGTGATGATTTGAAAGGGTGTTATGATTGCATCGTCTTGCTCTTGTGCTGGGGTCAACTGAAGCAGGTTCAGGTTCTTGATCTCCTGCGTTTGGAGCAAGCCAAAAATTGATAGTAGGCCAGGATACATTGACTTTGCTTTTCTGTGCTATCAGTTTCTGCCCAGTTGCTTGCTGAAATCTAGTATGAGGAGCCCAAAGACTCATTCTCTTATTTTGATTTTTGACGTTACTGTGAAGGTTGTTCATTCGTGACTGGAAATCTGATGTTATGCTTTCCGTTCCCTTTCCCTTCATCAGGGTTACAAACTCTCTTAAGCTGGTTTCCAATTCCACTCAGAGCAGCATGTCTGAATCTCCTCTTATGATCTATATCATGACTGTCTCCTTTTCCAAGTCACATTCCGTTCTATTTGCAGAAGCTTTAGAACTTGTTTCTCTGTAGCCTTTCCACAACCATAGTTTTGTTGTAAACTGGAGTTTTCACAGGTCATTGTAGCAACAAACACTTCCCTGAGAGGATTCCAAAAAGTAAAATCCTTATAATCGTGGTACTCAAAGCTTGAAGCAGAGTTCTTATTTTCATGAGTAGTTGGGCAGAGGATGTTCTGAAAACTATTACCTGCTTATGGCAGGGATGATTCCAAATAGTTCCATTTGTAGATCTTAACTATTCAGGAAATGTTTGGGATTAATGTGGTAAAGCTTCTCTATCAGATCATGGAGGTTTAATTTCCCCATGAGAAGGTAGCGTGATGTAGTTTCTGATCTCTGAGTCCTGGTTCTTCCCAAATCTCTTACTCTCCAGTGTTTGAGACTTTTGCAAGAACCTGAAAATTGTGTGCCATTGCTGCAGAGGATAGAATCCTTACCTTACCTTAACTTCAGGTAGTTTGCTCTGAAAAGTCAAAATCCTGGCCTTTATGGCGGACATAATTAGCAGTCTGTTCTGTGAGGAAAATTGCCCTTTAGGCCTGGTCCCTGACTGCACCATGGTCCCCTGCTTATTTTAGGTAGGAGACATAATATATAGCATTCTCAGTGTTTCGGATTTCCTTAAAATTTTCCTGTGCCCCAAGGTTTCATTATACAAAGAGGCATGGTAAGGGAAGCAGGGAAATCTAGATGGGGAAGTTTGGGAGTCAGGACTTCGGGGTGCAATGTATGGAACATACCTTTCTCTTGGAGTAGCTGGACTGCATGCCCTGGAACAAGAACTGGGGGACATACCACAGAACAACACTCAAAACTCTGATCTGCAGATCTTTTATTTCTTGTGTAAGTTATGGAAAGAACATAACTGCTTATGGATGTTTCCTCTTGAGCATGGCTAATGCAAAGAAGGTCTTTTTCCCTGAAAAGTACAGACCTGGGACATCGTTGGCTGATTGGATTCTTCCTTTAAGAGTTCCCTGTTTAACTAGTTAAGGTTATGGCCTTCCAGACACCCCAAAATCCAAATTGCATGCAATAATACTTACTGAGTTGGAAATTCATAGAATTTCTCAACTGGCATGGTTAGGTAGGGCTCCAGAACAGCTGGTTCTCATACAAAATATTTTTCTGGGGATTTAGATTGTCTTGTGGAAAAGAATTGAAAGTTACTTTCAGACTGGTAAATTTCCTAGTGGGGGAATTGAATAGCTTAGTGTTAACGTTTTTCTTCCCCCAATTGTTCATAAATTTCCCCCTCCATTTTTCAGTCGACTTTCTCCTGGCAGAGAGAGTTGCAGTTCAAAATATACGTTGCTGACGGGAAGATTATCAAGTTGGAATGAAATTCTTCTTGACTCTGTGCTAATCAAGTAATCATTGATTATTTGAATGTTCCTTTTATCTTAAGCGTCAAGTGGGTAAATTAGCTCATCATACTCAGAAAACTGAAGCTGGAAAGTCTTTGAAATAGAAGCAAAAGAATTCCATGATAAAATAATAAATCTGTAAGATTTGTGTATATGGGTAGCAAAGATAGAGGCCTAAAGAGATCTCTTTTCTTGCTTTTAAACACAAGTAGTTAGATACTCCTGCCTCAAATTTTGTCATATAGGCTATTAGCAAAATGTCATCAGTGGCAGCAACAGACCTTAAGGCAAATTGTGTTGTAATCTAAATGCATAACGAAGAGGTATTCATGTCAGGCACTCCAAACTCAGTGAACTTATCATTTGGAGATAGCTTTCATTTGTGCTTAATAATCACATGGTACCTCTTTTCTGTCTCCCCAAAAACTTGCTTGTGTGAGAATTGTCTTCAGGATCTCTCTAAAGGCTTGCTTTTACTTAACAGAGAGTTCATAGGGGAAACAAGCCCAGTGTTTGAGCTCTTTGCGTCGGTCCCCATCTGACAGCACTGAAACACCTCTAGTTTTTCAAAGCGTTTATAATGTTTATGTTTGTACTGGCCATGTGTGGCTGTTCGTTTTTATATTTTTTTTCGATTGTAATTGTTCAGTGATTTTGACAGTTATGCCCCTTTTCTGACCCTTTGTCTGTTCCAAGGAACCTGGTAGTTACTGTAGTTCATGAATCAACAGTAGTTCAGTCCAACAGTAAATGATCATCTCTTCCACAAAACCAGCAGTCCTTCAGTTTTGCAGCAAGTTTAAGGAACCAGAAATTTGTATAATTAAAGATCTTTTCTGCAAAATACATAGAAAACATACGGGACTTCCCCCTCCTCAATTTTTTTTCCTATTACCTAAAGGAATAAGTTGCTGATCCCTCCAGTGTGAACAGCTGAGGAACAGCCATTGATCCAGAGGATAAATCCTGTCTGATGATCTTCTAAGTTTTTGTAACAATTAGCCTTCATAAAGGCTTTTTATTTTCTTTAAAGAAATGATTCCAAATGGCTTCATCTATAGAGTAATTGAACATTATGTTTTTTTGATAAAAATACAGTAATGAAATTACTTTAAAAGCTGGATGCAGCTGGAGTTTTCTAAATGGTTTTTGATGGCATATTTTGTAAATATATGGGTTCCAAAGTAGCTTTCCCTCTTTTTTTTGTTGTTGTTGTGAAGACAGTTTCATTACAGGCATATTAGCTGACCTGTTTCAAGATAAGTAATGCATTGTCCTGGTGACTGTACTCTCCAAAGATTGTACTACTATGGAAGAAAGCACAGATTACAATCCTCATATTAATTGTAATAATATTAAGAGTCCTGTTTGAAAGTTATTATGAAATACCAAATTGTCATTTATTTACCTGTAAAATAACAATATTTAACAGCTGGTCACTGCTTTCTTATTCCTTACAAAGTTAAAAGATGTTTTAATACTTCATATTGCACTCAAGTCGTTATTGCTTGTTTTTGAAGTCCTGGGAAATTTGTCTGAAATTTCCTCTTCCTGTACATGTCATCAGTTCTTTCTTAATAAATGCTTCAATTGTGAGACCTCTCTTACTTCAGTGTTCAATGCACACCCTTTTCCTCACGTATCCCCTGGATTTGCTTTTGCAAAATGAAGGAGTTTTGTCTTTCAGAGCGGGAAGGTCGCGGGAAGTGATTCAGGAGGTGTCATCGATCTTACACTGGATGATGAAGATGATGGCTCTTCTCAAGGTAAGCAAAAAAAGATTCTGCTAGCCATAGGGGTAATTGAGCTGCAAGTATTTTTTTCATTCCCTTGAATGATACAAAAGAATAAACTTAAGTTTCTGCCTAATGTATTTTATCCTTTGGTGTTTCAGTTAAAGACTGTTATTTAAAGGTATCCATTATTAAAGAATTCTGATATGCATTAAATAAAAGGGATTGTACTCACTGTGAAACACAGCTTTAAGTTGTTAAGTTTCCCTTATTTTAAGCATTGTTGCTGTCTATTTGAATCTGTTGAGCTCATGGTATAATCTGAACTCTTTGAATTCTTGCATTATATTTTTGAAACTCCTTTCACATGAAATTCATCTTTCTGCTTACTAATGACATACACTTCCTCATACAGTTAATATTTAGGCATTATAATGTTTCAGGTCCTAATCCTTTGTTGAACTGAAAAACTATGTATGCAAAAGTTTAAATAGCAAATGTGCTGTAGTTTTCTGTTCTCTTTGTTTTGGGACTGTATGCCAAGATTAGAGTAAGTCTAGTGGTGCTCTTAAGTCCTTTGGCAATGTGGATATAGTTCATCTTTTAAAAGAATGCATTCTTTTATAACCGTCTTGCATAACTGTGGAGGGGTTTATTGATTATAATTTGCATTGGATTAGCAAAGAATTATAATACTACTTCAAAGACTGTGCATAAAGTCTGTGCATAAGACTATGTATTGCACTGTTATCTTAACTTGGTTTTTTCCTATTTTAGTTAAAATTTTAATTCTGCATGTCTCTAAATGGACTTTGCTATTTGTCTTCTAAAACGTAGCCACCAAGAAGCTTAATAGATTACTCTGGGCAACCTCTGTAACTGTATCTTATCTAGTGTATTCAAACTCTACACATATGTTCTAAAATATCTTGACTTGCTCTATATTTTTACTACCCAAATATAGAAAATCATACTAGGATGCATTAGCATTTTCTTCAATGAAGCAGAAACAGTATGTTGCCACCAAAGGGAATTAATATGGTACACAAGTATTGGGGAAGCATGATGTAATTCAGATAGCTGCTACTCTGGCACTTCATTAACAGGGGGCATATGGTGGACACTGAGTCAAATGTGAGTTGACAGTGTGTTCTCACTGAAACGTAAGTTAATATCCCCTTATTGATGCTAGTGAGACTGCACCTGAAATACTGTGTCCAGTTCTGACTCCATCTCCCCCACTTCAAAATGCAGTGGAACTGGAGATGGCCCAGTACGTGGCTGTCAGAATAGTTGAGGTCTAGAATACGTGACCTGTGAGAAGAGGTTGACGTATGTTGACTTGTTTAGTCTGTCAAAGAGCACGTTAAAGGGTTATGATAGCCTACAACAACTTGAAGAGTGGTTGTAAAAATAGTGGAGCAGAACTCTGCTCAGCCAGTGCCACACGATACATCAAGGCACAATGGTCATGAATTACAGTTTGGGAGGTTTAGGTTGAGCTTGAGGGGGGAAAAAGAAATCATGATGGGAAGGTAGTGTAGCACTGGAGCAGGTTACATAGAGGGGTTATGGAATCTCCGTTCTGGAAAGTTTTCAAATTTCAGCTACACAAAACCACAGCTCATCTGATTTAGTCTTAGGGACAGGCCCACCGCAGCGGGAGGCTGGGCTACATGACCACCAGAGATCCTTTCCAACCAGGTTAAATGGAGGAGAGGTGCACTTCAGATTGTTTTGCATGAGCATGTGCATACCTTTGACTGAATTTTTTTACCCCCCCCCCCCCCCCCCCCCCCCGGACTGAAAGTCTCTCCAGCCTTAAGGTGCTTCTTGCAGTATGCTGGAATATTAGTTTGATACAAATTCAAATAGTAGAGTGACACCTATGGAGTTTCTAAGAACGTTCAGGCCCTAGTTATTTTCTTTAGAGAATTGTCACCTGCATACTAAGTAGGCCTGATTCTGTTAAGTTTAAAAGGTATTTAAATAAATGCTCACGTCTAAAGAGAGATGCCTGTCATTTACTTGCTTTTAAATCTCTACTGGTACAACAGAGGAACCAAACTTGTGCAGTCTATTCTCCATCCCTTCATTTGTCCAATGAAATTTATGTTTGGATCAACAACAACTAAAACTATCATCTATAATACCACACACCAAAGTATAGATGCAGTGTAATTTAGACGTATAAACTTCAGGTTATGTAAGAACTACTGAATTTTTTTTGAGTTTTGTGAGGGTTTTTTTCTGTATTTTGGTGTGCTGTGGTGGTGTTGTTTTGGTTTTTTGTTTGTTTTTTTGTTGTTTTAATGCCTCAAGTCAGAGTTTCTGTGTTGAGTCATGGAAGTGTTGACTGTCATCAGGCTCGGTCTTCTGTCATGGTAGATGCACATATCACGTTTCTTTTGTTTTGGGGGGGAGAAGGGGGGTAGCATTACAGTTCCTAGGACCTCTGTGCATGTGGTAGAGATGCAGTGTTTTGGACACAGTCCTCCCACAAAATAGAACAGCTGTCCTAGGAGGGCTTTTTTTTTTTTTTTTTTTTTTTTTGATATTTTGAAACCTCATTCCTCTTAAAACAGAAACATAGAAACATCCTCTAATTTCTGATCCTATTTACATATAGCAGTTTGTATTCAAATAGTGCTTCATATACAGAGAAGCATTATCATCATCACAGTGTGGAAGTACTTACCCAATACAGTCTAGGATCGCATTTCCTTTCTTCTTCACATCATCAGACAAGCAGGATTCCATAATCAACAACATATGCAGGTTTTTCTGATCATCTTCACCATCCCACGCGTCTTTTTCCAAGCTGATCCTAGAAGTACGTATTAATCCCTAAAAGCCTGAAATTGCACTTTCTACTGTCATCGCCCATTTTCTAGTTCTTAAGTCTTAGTTTTGTTCCTGTGTGATGTTATGGTCCTCCATTGTGCCGATAGCATCTTCCAGTTTAGTAAACTGGCCAGTTCATTTAGTGCACACGTTCTTACCTGAGTAAGAATGATTGGTGAAAACATTGCATAACCCTTGAGAAACAATGTTGTTAATTTCTGTTCAACACAAATTATGGTCATCCTTTTATCAAAGAATAGTCTATATACTTGTTTATCTTTTGAGCATCTTGCAATACTTGTACAGTCCCCATGCCGTCCAACTTAATAATCATGTGGTGCACTGCGTCAAATGCTTTCATAAAAATACTGAAACACCAATAGCTTTATCTGTTACCTATCACCAGTCTAAAATGGACTTGTAATCTAAGAAAAATACACAGTCCTAGATAATATCATGTTCCACCTAATCTTATTTTACATCCCTCTTTTTGAAGAAAAAAATGGTTCAATGCATACAATAGTAAATCAATTCCTAATAGTTTATCTGATAAATCTGTAGTTTTCCAGATCTTTTTTTTTTTTTTGTATTCATGAGTATATGTACTATGTTTGCTATTCTGGAATCCCGTTATATCACTTCTGTTTAATGCAGTGATTAAAAATCCTCACTGCTATGACTGCAATGTCATAGGCCCATTTTCTGAGATGGAAATTAACCTCTCCTCGAGTTTGAATGTATTGGATTTGAGTTTGGCTTATTCCTCCAGTAGTGACGATTTCCATTTTAATGGTCATTTTCATAAGTCAGGTTGTCCTGCCTCCTCCCATTCGACTTTTTTTGTTTTGTTTTGTTTTGTTTTTTTAAGTGAAGATGATACCATATTCAATCAGTATTGTAATTGTTCCTGTATTACTTTCAGTCTTCATCCTGTGCTTACAGTATACCTACTCTTCCTGTTTTCTTGGCTGACTTTTTATTTACATAGCTAAATAATTTTTTGTTATTTGTTTCCGTTTGTTTAGTCCAAATTGGTTATCTTTCATTGTTTCCTGTGCCTTGTATTTTCCAGACCTCGTTTCCAGCAACTGGTATCTTAACTGGATTATTGATTTGCCAGGGTCAAATGAACCTACTTCTGTTTGAGATTAAAAACAAAACAACCTCACGCTTTCCCAGACTGTCCTTTTAACTTCTAATACTTTTTTTTATAGCAGTACTGGATTCTGGATTCTTACTAGTTTGGATCACGAGCAGGTCTTTGTAGGTCATGGCAAGCGTCATGGCTTTGTAGATCGTGGTCAGTGCCATGGCCACTGGTTCAATGGCAGTTGAAATGTGCATGCATATGTAAATACTCAAAGTGAACGGGTGTATGCATCTCTGTAGAGGTCTCTTCCGAGTCAAATGATTTGCTGAACCCTGGGAAATCTCTCATAGCCTTGTAAAATAAAAGAGCTTTGAACTAATCACAAGATCTCCTAGCTGATGAAAGAGCAGGAAACGTCTCACCTCTTGTCTTCAAAATGAGCCTCCTTTCACTCCCATTTTCATAGATTTTGCTCATTAGAAGAATATATCTCTATCAAATGGCTTCTGTGAAGTAGCTCAGGTATTCAGTCTATAAAAAAAACAATGTAGTCTGCAATTTAAATTGCATTTTATTTTTGAGGCCTTGAATTGTATTTAATTTAATAAATAGCAGTTTGTGAAGGGAACTGTTATGTCAAGCTATTAGTCGTTGGTGTTAAAGAATATGAAGTTTTCTCTTTTCTCTATGCTTTAGATTAGTGCAATGTTTTATTGAAACAGCTCAGTGAAACCATAAAAATAGTCTCTAATTGCCAGAAAAGACATTCTAATCAATAGGGTTTTTTCTATTCTGCCATTAAGCCTGTTCTTCATAGTGCTTTGTAGGTTAGTTAGCATAGTTAATTGACAGTTTCTGAGTGTATTCTTCAATACATTGCTGATGACGTTTTCTCAAGAATGTAATACTGATTTTTTTAAAAGATGTTTATATTGTGCGCAGTTTCACTAAATCAGTGGCTGCTGCATGCGCAGCAAGGCAAATCTTTTTTGAATGAGTGTCCTTTAAAACTTATTTTCATATCTTGTATTTTGTAGTATTTGATGTCCTCTCTGCTCACTGTTACTGTGTAATCTAGCTGAAACATCTAGGCAAAAGCTTCTTAATTCTTCTTCGCTAAACTTGCGAACAGAAGGTCTGTTTACATACAGACTTGCACTCAAAAGAATATTTTATATTATCACAAATAAACTGAAGTAGGAAAAAAAAAAAAAAAACTACCGCAATGAACTACAGGTGCTGTATTTCTCACTTCTCCCAGTCAGTAAGTTGAGTAGTCAACACTGTCAGTTTGAGAAAGATCATTTTTGTTATTACTAAAGACTATTTAATAATCTAATTCCTGTTTTTAAAGAACATACTATGGAAATTCAAAGAACAAGAACAAATGGTTCTGACAGAGCTTGAACAAAGGAAAGTCAGCAAATGACAAAAGGGTGTAAGCATCAAAGGTAGACAAGAATTACTTAAGGAGCTTTATCACTTTTTTAAAAAAACAATTTGAGTACAGCAGTATTTAAGCTTTTCTTTTTTTAAGCTCTTAAGCCACTAAACTGATTTTTAGTGGAAACACTTTTAAAGACTTTACCACAGTGTTTCATTAAATTCAGGTTTCCAAATTACGCTGAAATGTGCAGACTTGCCTGATGATAGAATAAAACATTATAGATTGGGATGATGAAAACGAGGGAATTGACTGAATTTTTTACAACTGGGTTTGGAGAATGAAAAGATGAAAGAAAGATCATGCTAAGAAATGTTCTTTGGTGATCTGTGAACGACAGGAGGAAAAGGCTTAAATAACTGTGATACTCTAATTTCTGTTTGCTATTGTCTGTTCTTTTTTTTTTTTTTTTTTTTTAAAGCAGATGCCAAGAAGCAGAGCCAGACAGCTGTGACAGGATTGAGCTTGTCCACTCAGCCCTTGGCTCGCCCCTTGCAGCCTTTGCAGCCAAACCCTCTCCAGCAGACAGGTGTGCCAACAAGTGGACCTTCCCAGACCACCATACATGTATTACCTACAGGTAACTGCATTCCACATTGTTATGTGAATGCGATGATATTTTTGGTTTTTTTTTTTTTTTTTTTTTTTTTTTGTTTTAAACTCAACTCTTGTGTGTTCATATTATGGTAATCTGTTCAGGTGAATGTTTAGACTATTTGAGTCATTTTTAATTTTTCTAGCCAGTTTTTTTTTTTTTTTTTTTTTAAATAACTGGGAAAGTGAAAGGGAAAGATGGTAAAGATGGTTTGGTTGGTTTGTAAGGGAATGATTCAGGATCAGATGTATTCCATGGAGAGGAAGAAATCCTACTGGATGATCCAGATTAGGATTTCTGCTGAAACTTCAAAGGAATAAAAAGGAGACTAGTAAATAGGGTAGCTGTGGAAGTTATTAACAAAACTATTGTTTGCAAAAGTGAAGGAGAAGAAATCTATAGCAGTTGCATTGCTTGAATAACAGAAGAAAAAGCATTGGCAACATCAGTCCAAGCTCTGTCCACCTGCACTTGGTAATCAGTCCTTTTGGCCATGGAATGACAAAGCTGACATTGAAGTTCCACCTCTAGTTAAATGTTACTTGGTCTGCAGTCTGATTTCTTTTTCTTTTTTTTTCCCCCTAACATTCAAAAGAGACACAAGGTTTTTTTAGTTTTTTGTTTTGTTGTTGTTGGTTTTGGCTTGTAGATAACTGTTGAAGATTAGTTGGCACCAGAATTGTTTTGTCACTGGTCTGTTCTACAGACTTAAACTTACTACCTTGTGTTTGGTGATGGCTCTTATTTTCTCCATAGCTATTCTGATAATCAGGATGTTTCTTTCTTTATGTGGATAAAATTTAGTAATTGTAGAACATCCGGGGTTTTGGGGGCATTTGCACTTTTTAACAATATAGCTTTTTTCCTCCTCTAACTATTCTTTTGGATATCATGTTTGTCTTTTCTCTTGGAAGTTTGGAATTTTGTATATGCTCAAATTATTGTTTTATACAAAAATTACTATTTGTTTAGGCTGTTTTCTCCTTTCATGCATCATTAAAAGCAGCTGTAATTTCACGGAGACGGTTTTTATTTTGTATGGCTCAGATGAGTCAGTCTCCTAAAGGATGTATGCATTCTGGAATAGGGATATCTGTTTAATGCCTTGGGAGTCAGTCCTAGGTTGTGGTCTGTCTTTTCCAGCTCCGACAACAGTGAATGTAACACATCGTCCAGTGACGCAAGCTACTGCAAGACTTCCTATACCAAGAGCCCCTGCTAACCATCAGGTGGTTTATACTACTCTTCCTGCCCCACCGGCTCAGAATCCAGTAAGAGGAGCTGTCATACCAAACCCAGGTTTAAGGCCAGTCAACCCTCAGAGCGGAGGTAAGGAATTCTTTCTTCCTTGTACTTTTTAGCGCAGCACAGCTTGCCTGATGGATATGTTTCTCTTGCAATACTACTCCAGATTTATAGAGATTAGGCTTTTTTCCAGCTTGCGGACTTGAGAAAATCTCAAGCTATTAAGAAATCATTCCCCCTGCAGATATGTGGATGAGGAAAAATTGGAATGAAGTCATCTCGGGCACTGACTCTACCAGTTATGCATCTCTGGATGACATGCCCAATACATTACAAGGTAGCAGAAGGTAACGTGGTGAGCACCAATGTTTTGTAAAAGGGTAGTAAGAGACAGTTTTGTTGTTAAGCAATGAGTTTAAAACATATACATATGTAGTAAATAATGTTCTTTTTTTTTTTGATTCAGTTTGTATCAGACTAATGTAATTCTGTAACAATCTCTGATGTCCTGTGCTTTGAAATAGCAACAAGTTTTCTTATTTTTCCTGGCCTGAAAAGATGAAATTTCTCACCAGATGCATCAGAAATTGATGCATGCTTGAGTCTGCTCTGAACTATAAATGCCAGCAAATTCATCTTGAGTTGGCAAACATACGTGGTATCTTCCCACAGCAGTAAACTCTTTTTTTTTTTCTTTTTTTTTTTTTAATATGAATAGTGTATGTCAACAATAAAGACCTTAAAATTGTACAGTAGCTTGTATTTTGTTGAGTGATGGATTTAAACTGCCTTTTTAGCTTCCCCCCCAACCCCACCCTTTACGCGCCATGGTTATTTTTACACAGTTAAGCGTATGTTTCCCTGTATGCTCTTGAGTATGAGGCTTCATTTGTGTGACCTCCAGATACTGTATTGTTCAGACATGAGTCTGTATAAGCCCGACTCAGAACACTGGAAGTTTGAACAATGTAAGACTGTACATAATGTAGGTTTGTGCAAAAATAACAGGTACATTTTTCTGAAGCAGCAATTTTTGGAAAACAGAACATCAGTGCATTTTTGTAGCAATTAAATTCTTATATTAAATTCTAGATATCTTCTGTAATAACTGGTTTCAGCTGCATAGCTTTAGGCTGTGAAAATATGAACTGTGCTAGCTAAACAGCTCACTGAGTTGCTCAGCCAGTTCTTGAAATACCTCTGACATGCTGGGGTCTGAAGAAATTGCTGTTCTTTTCAGAGTACTTGCTCACGCTCCTTAAACTTTTGGAACTCATGTGCCATATGCATTTGAGTCCAGGCTCTTTTGACCAGTATCTTTTGAGGGATATGCCCGCATCTGGTGCATCTGCCAGCAAAAGGCAGTAAAAACCATAGTTATCTCAGCCCACACTTGAGTCATTGTCTTTGTTACCATTTAGCGACAAGTCAGACATGTGATCTACCTATTATTTTGCAAACAGTCGTGCATACTTAGCAATCTAGACAGGGTTAGGTTTTTTTTAATAGCATTTTCTTTCTTTTGTACCAAAATATAAACCTGTTTGTTTTCTGTCAGTATCTTCCAGTTCTTAGACCAGTCATTGTAAATAAATACACGTCACCAGTGTTAGAATCTATAGAATACCTTTTTGCATTAGATATGCAAGATATTTGGTGTGTTGTTGAAGAATACATAATAGAAGACATGCTATTTTTTAAGCTTTTTTTTTTTTTAAGGAGAACTCAGGTAGGGAATTTTGCTAGGAGACGCTTCTTTTGGAGAAAGCGAATATATCCTTTTCCAGTCACAGCAATTGCTAGAATAGAAGTACGGAAAGAGCTGCTACTGTCTCTTCTTCAACATGGCAGATGCTCTGTTCTGGGGGATACTTACCATTACCGGAGTAAGGTGCTATTAAGGTTAATAGGAGAGGACTAAAAAGGACTTGCTTTTGCACTCTTCCACAGTCAGCTATCACATAAATCTATCTGAATGTGGAAGACTGTCTTGTTCGTAGGATGTTTCCTCATAAGCATCCACCTTTCTGTAGGCTATCAGCAGACATGTTTCTTTTACTTCATGCAGAGGTGATGGAACTCTGGGGTGTCAGATTAGTTGACGAAATCTGAGTGTGACTTTGGACATCTTCAGAATCACACTATCATTTCAACTGATAAAGTCTCTGAAAGTTTATAAAGCATTTTAATTTTTTGCCATTTAAACCTGACTCTATTGAAAAATAGCTCACTTTTTTTTTTTTAGGCCTCTAACAGTTTTGGTTGTGTTTTATTTTGTTTTTTTTTTTTTTTACACAGGCAGGCTTCAGGAGGCTTGATTTTTATATGAACTCACTGGAACAGGGTCTATTAATCAAAGTTTGAAGTTAGTGAAGTTTGACAGTTCCCGTCATTGTGAACAATACAATAGGTCTAGTTTTTGGAGGAGGAAAATACATGCTCCTTTTAGGAAAGCTGTATGCCTTTGAAATTCTTTACCCTACACAAGATGATGCAAAAACTGCATATTTACCAGAATATGCTGAAAGATTTTTCCCCTTCCCAAGAAGTGGTTAGCAGACAACACTGTTCTCAGCTGAGATACCCAACAACAGACCTCTGTGCGATTTGCTTCTGATCTGATGGTCCAGTAATACAATGAATGCTTATGCTTCAATTGTCTGATCACAGAAATCCTCAGCAATTGAGACAGGTTTCAACCAAGATTGTGTTAATGCCAGCATGATGTGGGAAATGATTTTTCACTGGAAATATTCAAGACTTAGCTTGAAAGGGCCCTGAATAACCTAATCTAAGACCCTTCTTCCAACAGAAGGTTGGACCAGGTGATCTCTTCAGAGTTCGCTTCAAACCTAGACTTTTCTGTGATTCTGTTAGAGACAGTTGTGGTGTTCTATCTTGAAAAGTATATCTGTCCAGTATTATTAGTAGTACAGTGCTGTTGTCTGACAAGCCCGATAGGTGCAAGAAGCTGACAGTTCCTCCATAGCATTCTGTATCGCCTCTACCTCAGGACAAAGTGGTGGATGGTTACCCAGAGTAGATAAAAGACCAGTTTAGTTGCAATACAGATTATTTCAGGCTTCACTTTTGGGTACCAGACAAAGAGGATGCACTTATTGTTAAGAAAAGTCTGTGTTTGTTGATCCCTTTTAGCAGCCATGCAAGTTCTCACCTTCCAGTCCATTCTACGTTTTCACTATCTTTGTTACACAGCTTTCAGAAGTGCCTTGTGTAGGTAAATAAATTGAATACAGAGCCTCCCCTCCATTGTAGCTCAGCTTTGTATTGAAGGTCTTGGTTGATCTATCCTTTGTGCTGCTGATGACCTGTATTGATTTATATTTTCCTTAGAACAGTCATTGTAGTGTCAGCAACAGATGCTTAAGGAGTAAGAGCTTCATGCTTTCTCTTTGAAAGAGTAACTTTGAGATGTCATCCAAAGTGTTTTGCAAATTGTAGTTTTGTACTTCTACCTCAAGCAAGTAGTATGTCTACCTGATATTTGCAAAGATACGTTCAGAGAGAAATAATGCTGAATTTGTACATTACGTGTTCTTAAGGCATTTCTATCTCTCTGTCCTCAAATTATTGTAATTTCCTGAGATAGGATTGTAGTCAAGCTAAAGCAGTATATCTGGTTTGATTTTCATAGATATGAACTAACCAGTTTAGAGAACTCCTTATCCTACAGGAGTTTGCACAGCTTCGGTAGCTTCTTAGATAAATATGTCAATAGGAAAAGAATGTAAAACAGCTAGCTGGAGTTCAGTGCTTTCATTTAACTACTCTTAACTCAAGAATAAAAGCATTAAGATTTGGCACTTCATTTGGCCTCACTGCCTCAGAGTCATAGCTCACATAGACTTCTAACACCCATCACCTGTGATCGTACCTTGATAACTATTTATAGACAGAAGAAATTATTATACAGTAGCTGTATGAAATCTGTCATTCTGTGATTTACTTCTTTTTTTTTTTTTTTTTCATTCTGGAATATGAGAACACTTGGATTTCATGCAAGTGTGAAACTTGGGAGTGGTGGAGGTTACTCCAGTTCTTTTATTTTTGGATAGAAATACAGGGACGTTTTAAGCGACTGATAACGCGTAACCATGAGCAAAAGCATTGACCTCAAGCTCACAGAATGAACGTGACCTAACAGTAAACGGAGAAAATGTTACTTCAGGGACTGCAATATGCTATATAAGAAATGATTGCTTGGTAATTTGTAAGAGTTTTGGATATTATTTTCAAGGCTATGTAGTCATCTAATTTATTTCTGCCAGTCAGGTCAGTTTGGGTTTGAATGAAATAGTAAATCCTGTGAGTTCACATCCATAGTGGTCTCTCTTCTGAGAGGGACAATAAACTTCTTTGACAGTGACTTAATCTTGCATTTTCTGTGCTTTCGACGGTGCAGCCTATTGGCAATTGAATGTTGAGCAGATATAATTCTGCTGCAGTGGCATTTATCTTTTTCTTTCTGAATCTCAAAGCGATCTAACTTTATTTTCATAGTTGAGCTCCTTGAATCTCGTCCAGTCCCTCCACCCATTTCTTTCTTGTGTTGGAAATGATTAAAAAGTCACTCTGTCCCCTTGCAGACAAAAGCACTTGTTTACTTTCACTCTTACAGCTTCGGGGAAGGGGGAGATGGGTTTGTTTTAGTATACTACTTCATCAGTCTGCTTGCAGGCTGTTTGGGGAGGGAGTGTCATTTTAAAATGTGGTATCATCCAGCTGAACCAAGGAGTTGGTCTTCCGGTGTTCTGTCCAGCTGATTGTAAGTATCAACTATTCAGAATATTCGCTGTACTCCTTTATAGGTATGACAGTACGAATGCCTCAAACAACTGCATATGTTGTGAACAATGGACTAACTCTCGGATCTGGAGCACCTCAGCTCACGGTGCATCATCGACCACCACAAGTGCATGCTGTAAGTAAAGTAATTCTGAATTTATTTACTGCAATTTACAGGCTTGACTCTACTAGTGTCTCAGCTTGCTTCTTAGTGTGAACTGCGGAACAGTGAAATGTCTTGTAGACAGATCAGCTCTCCAGATAATTTGCATATACGTCACCACACTGTTACCTACAGCAATTTATGCCGAGAACAGAGAATCATGTGATCGGTTAGCGCACACCAAGAATTTCCCAGATCACTTGTAGCACATCTTGAAAAATGGTGCATGAACTATCTGCAGGTGACTTGTGGAGCCAAGGGTACAGAAGACCTAACACAAAAAGTTTCATCGTGGATTGAAGAATATAGTGTATGAGTTTGGCTATGAATGGGATGACCAGTTTCTCAGCACAGCTCTATGCAAATTTTTAGGTGGGTGCCCAAGATACAGACAGCAACTTCAAGGTTACCAACTTCAAAATTTTGGATTTTTTTTATTACTGTTTGGGGTGACTCCTTCTGCCCCACCTCAAACCCCTTTTAGTAAGTATTCCAGAATTGACTTTGAGTCAGTAAACTGGATCATATTACTGACTTAGGACTGCTGCCCTAAAGCCACTGCTGTTATACTGAAGTATGTCCATTCCACTGGATTTGTTACGGTTTTGTTGTTGAGACTGAACCAAATGTGTTTCTTGTTTACTTGTTGTTGGGCAGTCACATTATTTCTGATCTCCTGAAATGGTACATGTATTGCCAACAAGGTTGCTCACCATTCTTTTGAATCATTCAACTTCGTGCGCTCCCTAGTCATAACTAATGAAAAGAAATCCTGCAAGTTCTACACAGAAAACTCAGAGGCCACAAAAACTACCCCGATTTCCACCCTGAGAGGCCCTTGACATGAAGAACAACAAAATGTCATGCCCATTCTAACCCCGTTCCTAAATTCCTCTCAACTAATGTAAGTGATAGCTAGCAATGTTTGTTGTGATCTAGAAATCTTCAATGGAAAGCCGTTTGTGCCCTTATCTGGAAACTTCTTGGAAACTGAGGCTGAGGTTTTGTGGTCACTTAAGGTGATCAACGTTCTCGTGGTGCCATGACCCGTTCCCCCTCTTATGACTGAAAACCAGCCTATCAAAAGAGATGAGCCCAACTGACAGAATTGGACCGCTGTCTGCGGTGTTTGGGGTAGTGTGGGAACAGCAGTTTGAACATAGATTAGCTCAAACTCATTGTGAACCTGTGTGCTCAGCCTTCATAAAAGGCACAGTGTTCACAGTCCATCACCTCTTGGGTGGGGAAGTAAAGAGGATATAGGAAAAATAACAGTGACAGTGATCTTCTGTACAGCTAGCGATTTAAACGTGAATAATAAGAATTTCTGGCATCCTTGGTCCCACCCCCTCTCACCCTTTGCCACTTACCCTCCACACACAGGACTTTGAGTTGCCGTGGTTGGGTGATTGCAGGCTGATTTGTTTCCATTTGCCTCGGGAGTGATGAAGTAGAGCCTCCTGCCACTGCTATCGACTCTGACCTTTCCCTTATTGCTGTTGCATTGCTTAGGAGCCACCACGCCCTGTACATCCTGCCCCACTCCCGGAGGCACCACAGCCACCGCGCCTGCCCCCTGAAGCTGCCAACACTTCACTGCCTCAAAAGCCACAACTGAAGCTGGCCCGGGTACAGAGCCAGAATGGTATTGTGCTGTCATGGAGTGTCATGGAAGTGGACCGAAGTTGTGCCAGTGTGGACAGTTATCATCTCTACGCCTACCATGAGGACCCGAGTGCTACTATGCCCTCCCAATGGAAGAAGATAGGGGAAGTGAAGGCCCTCCCACTACCTATGGCGTGCACTCTTACTCAGTTTGTGTCTGGCAGCAAATACTACTTTGCGGTCCGGGCTAAGGACATCTATGGACGTTTTGGACCCTTTTGCGACCCCCAGTCCACAGATGTGATCTCTTCCCAGAGCAGTTAGAGATCTTCGGAGCCTTTAAGCGTGTCCCACTACCAAGAATCACCCCAGTTTGCGGGGTTTGATCCGATGCATGAAATTCACTGTTAAATCCACTCTCTGCAGGATTACTTTAAACAGCTGTGTGATATACACTACATGCATTGAGAACCAAAAGAAAAATAAAGTCTCACCTGCAGCAAGAGAACCTGTTTTCCTGCATAGCTCAAGTCATGGGCTGTTTGAAAATTTCATATTCCCTTCCATGACAGCTGTTCCACCTAGATACCTGCCTGCCCTTTATCCTGGACGTCTGGGATTCTGCTTCAGAGTGGGAACAAAATAAATTGCACAGTTTGTCTGAAGCAACACATACACATCTGTCATAGCCACAAAGGCGCTAACATGAGGGCACTAACCGATTTGCCTCTCGCACCCCACTGCTCTGTGAGCAGGCTATGATGTGAAAGGCGCTTCAGGGTCTTACTTCTGTACTGGAAGATTGAGTGGTCTGGTCTCATTTTACAAACTATCAACAGTTCTCTGAGGGGAGAGAAGGGAATTTGAGTCTAGCCAAGGCAGGAATCTCTGTGTAAATTTGGAGGTGGTGAGGAGGAGAAAAAAAAAACAAAAAAAAAACAAAAACAAAATCACCCTACTACCTCCTGCCTCTCCCAAATAAGAACTTGCTTCTAATTTCACCATCTTCCCCCACAAGTATTGGGAGTATTCCCAGGTCAGATCTGAAACTGGATTGTAGGGACTACATTCACGTATTTTTAGCTCAGATAATTTCTCTGCCCTTCCCTTTATACATCCAGCCCTATTTTTTAGATTTATTTTGTGCCTTAAAGAGTAATTTCAGAAATAAATGTAGCCAGATATCTTGTGGTGTTCTTTTATTTGTTTGGAGTTATTTTTCTTTTTACCCCTCTTGCCTCTCATAATTGTTTCTCATTTTCCTGGCTCACAGTAATTATGTATTTCCGTAAAGCCCAGGAAGGGTAACATCTGCTGTTGCTGGATTTATCTTCATCTGCAGTATATCTCAACCCTCTCCTCACTGTAATTTTTGAGCAGTTGTTTTTGTCCTGTGAAGAACATTAGAGTATACAAACAGTATTTTCCACCAGAGCCTTTCCCTGTTCTTTTGGGAAAGCTGTATGCTGCAGTTCAGCCAAAGAAGAAACCTCTGTGGTGTGGCACCATGAAAGCTTCTACCTGTTTGCACGCAGTTTGGAGGTTGAGTCAGTACAAAAAGGTACGAAGTTGGCTTCCCCGTCCTCTTTCTATCCCAGTCACCTGTCTGCCTCTGCAGAAGGCTAACACACCCAAAGCAGTTTTGAAACCATCTTAGACGCTGGCCCAAAAGTTGTGAGCAACTGCAAATGTTAATGGAAGCTTTCATGATGTTTCTGAGCTGAGGAAAAAAAAATTAACGCATCTGCCCCACTGTCCTGTTGTCATGTTACGGTTTGGTTTTGCAAAAAGCAAATTGAGCACCCCTGGAACAAGAAAGGATCTGAAAGACGAAGACACTTGTGTCGTTCCTGCCCAACAGAACCAAACAATGGATTTAGAGGGGAAAGCCTTTTTTTTTTTTTTTTTTTTTGAATCCATTACACCATGTGGCAAAGCTGTAGAATATATATCGGTTTTTTTTTTTTTTTTTAATTCCAGTGCTCTCTTTCCTAAAACCACGAAATTTTCAAATGTGAAGCAGGGTTGAAAAAGGGTAGGAAAAACTTAACCCCAAAATATGGCTGGTGAAATACACTATGAGATCATGGGTTCTTAGTTGTGTTCCCTTCAAGTGAAAGAAACTGTGTTGTAGACTTTTGTCCATACTATTTCACTGCACTCCTTTGTGTAGCTAGGATTTTCACTTCTGTCAGGTGAGTAACGAATATTCTCTGTATGGAGATTTGCATTTAAACTATAGCAGTTTTAGTGATTTGAGTGAACACAAATTCTGTCCAAAGCCGAGTATCATGAGAAAAGGTTCACACTGAATCTCAAGTTTAAACAATGCATAACCCCTCCTTTGAATAGCAATTGTCCCTGTGTTACTGGTGCCAATAATCAATAATGCCTTGAATTTTTCTATGTTTAACTAAATGTTTTGTCTGCCTCTTTCAAGGAACAAGAATTGCTTAATAATGCATTTAGCCTACTTACGGAAAGTTGGATCCTTATACAGCCAGTTCTGTAGTAGAGGCTTAGAGCAGTTTCTTCCAGCTGATGGCTGTTCAGTCCTCTGTGGGCAATTTTTAATGTGTTTTTGAGGTGGTACCAAAGGGCCTTTGAGAGGCCATATCAGTACAATGAGGTTTTATAGTTTGAAAGCTAAAATAAATATTAGAAAACAACCTAGAATTTATGCTGCTTATTTAATTGTGATTCCAACCCAAACTGCACATGAACTTATCTAAAGTTTGGTGCTTGCTTTTTTAGGTCATGATTGTTTTTAGCTTTGTCTTGCTCTGTGCTGGGGGGGGGGGGGGGGATTACAATTTTTTTTTTCTTTCAGTGGAGGTATTGCTTATTAGGTCTGGTTTGTGTTTGGAGGTTTTGTAGGCTGTCTTTAGAGAAAGAAAACTCATTTTTATTTATTAACGAGGGATGTAGTTTTCAACTGAACTGACTGTATAACCTGACTTCTTGTTTAATAGATCTGTTTCTACTATGTATGGCAGAGTGCAGTTGATTTGTGTGAATAGACTAAATAAGCTAGCTACCATCTGCTGTCTGAAGCCATCAAAACTGTAAGGACGAAAACTGAATTTTCTTCTGTTTCATCCCAGTAGAGCTGTTAATATCCGATTTCAGGACCTTAAGCAAGTTGTGGTGGCAAAGTACATGATAAACTGTAGCTTGACTTTCAGATGCCTGTCTCAGTTTGGAGACCTTCCAGATAGCGGGTCCTCAGATCACTGATGCACAAAGAGAGAACCTCACTGTGCCATTTTAGTAAAAACGTTTTCATGGTGGAACAGATCGCCACAAAGGATATTTTTCTCTTTATGTTAACCAGCTGGAGAATTGCTGAATTCTTTAGCTGGAATGACATTTTTCCCTGTGTTGTGGGGTTGGGGCCTGGGGACTTTGTTTGTTTGTGGTGTTTTTTTTTTTTTTTTTTTTTTTTTAAAAACATCATTTACCTCCTAGAAAACTACTTAGGAACTAAATTTCTGCTAGTAACAAACATTCAAAGTAACTGTTTTCACTTAATAGATTTTATTTAAGAATATTACCAGAATGTCCTGGAATGCTCAATACAGGACTGTTAACACTGTGTGCTTCTAGCCTGGGCTCTTTGTGAAACTTTGTTGCTGGAGGCTTCCGATAATCCTGTTCTTAAATATGCTAAAAATATTTACATGACTTTTTAAGTGGCAGGGCTGGTTTTAGTCTCAACTCTGCATTTCATGCAAGTATTTTCCATCTTGTTTTCAGTACATTGTATAAAAACTGTTCCTTGCTTAAGACTTTTGCTATTGCCACTTGGTACATGACATTTTAGCAGTACAGAACTGGAGCTAGTTCTCCATGTTTTAGAAGATACAGCACTGATTCTGCAGCTGTATTTTCCATCTTCATTTACCTTCTGATTTGTCTAGGGTTTATTTTGTTTTCTCTTGAGGTGTTGTGGGGATCTGGACGTCCTTAAAAGCAATTTTAGGTAGCTCATTTTCTGGTTGGAGAGGAGCCCTACTGTGGAGTGCTGATGGCAAAATGCTATTCACTTCTTCTGAGTTTGTCCTAGTTACAGCGTCACTGACCTCCCTAATTTCAAAGTATGTCTAAAAAAGCTTTATTGGTTGTTTTATTTAGATAACCCCAGGAGGGGAGGGTAGACAGTAGGTATGGTGTATGTTACTGCATCTGCAGTGGCAGCCTAAAGAAGCGTGAGGGTGCGAACTGTTTCCCCTCAGCTTATATTTATTTTCCTGTTCTGACCAGCTTCCCTGGGAGTAGCAATTGATGTTGGAATTTCTGCTCCATAGTATTTGTGCTACCATTGCTGCGGTAGATCACTGAGCACAAGCGCCGAGGTACTCATCCACCCTGGCCTGAGGTTTTTAGCACAAGGCTGGCAATGCCCATGGTGTCTTCCCTGTGAATATGAAGGCCCTTATCCTGCTTCCTTTGAAAACATTGGCAAAACCCTTGGTGCCTTCAGTGGGAGCAAGATTCGGCGTGATAGTAGATGAGCGCTGTTTTGTACTGTATGGAAAACAGTCACTTACCCCTTCCTTTATGCTGTTTGTCTAAAGTGTCCTGTTACCTAAAATCCATGTTATATGTAGGGACAGGGCAGATCTATTCTTGTTCCCTAAACAGCCATTCCCCAGTATTAGAGTGTTGCAAACACTGTACAAAATCAAGCTGTGATTCTGCCTTCTTATAAACTCATTATTTTTTTACTGTATGGAAAACAGTCACTTACCCCTTCCTTTATGCTGTTTGTCTAAAGTGTCCTGTTACCTAAAATCCATGTTATATGTAGGGACAGGGCAGATCTATTCTTGTTCCCTAAACAGCCATTCCCCAGTATTAGAGTGTTGCAAACACTGTACAAAATCAAGCTGTGATTCTGCCTTCTTATAAACTCATTATTTTTTTCATTTAGTAAAAATAGAGGGAGAGGAGTTCAGATGACACTGTTACCTGAGCCAGCCCTGCCACCAAAATCTGTATTCTCTTCTAAACAGCTTTTGAGGGGGGAGTGGAAAAATTAAGGATAGTCAAGAGTATGTGAATGAATTTTTTTTTTCTTTTCATCCCTTCTAAGTACCCTTTAAAATTCATTTTTATTTCTCATTGTCATTGTGCAGGCTGAGCATTTTTTTATTTTTTCTATTTATATATATTACATATATATGTATATATACATGCACACACACGTACGTGTGTGTGTGTGTGTGTGTATAAATATATCATTTGAATTGCTGTCTTAATTTAATAGGGTATAGCTGTAAATAAGATAACTGAGTGGCAGTGTTTGGGGATTTCTGTTTGGCTTTAGTAATTTATTGGCCATTAAAAGATTCAAACGTGCAAAATCCTTTATAGGAAACTGACAGTCTTTTTCTTTTTTTTTTTCTTTTCTTTTGCAGCTGGACTTGTAAATACAAATACTATAGGACTGATTTAATGTCCAGTTTAAACTGGGCAGTTGCAAGCTCTCCCCATTTTTGTATGTACTGTAGATTAGTGTGTGTGTGTGTGATAACTGTAGTGGGGTTTTGTCTGACAAGCCTGAAATTTATACTTTGAAATAAACTACTGGGTTTTTAACATTTTGACTCATCTGTGCTTAGTTCCAGTCATCTTTTTCAAAAAGAGCAAAGCGTGTGCTCTTTTGTCTTCAAAAGTGCTGCTACCTGGAGAATGGGGCAGTGCAGACATTTCAGTTTTGTAGGTTTGTTGCCACCTTGCTCAAATATGCTTGGCTCTAAGTTGTGCCTAGAAAGCCAACTGCGCAGCGTTGCTCTCCCAGCCTGCTCCCAGGAACAAATGAAAGCAATATTGTCACGCTCGGAAAGGCACCTTCCAAACACTTTTAAAAGCAGAGCAGCTAAAAATCCTGGCCAGAGAGAATCTACTAACTTGCACACTGATGCT